CGTCTTGCTCTTCTGCTTTGCTCCCCACCATGGGCGCGCACTCTGTTGCTGCAGCTGCCAGGCTGCAGTGCCGAGCCTGGCTGGCGGCAGGAGGGCTGGTATCCTTGACTGCATCCGTTTGTTATGTTAGCCGTCACTGGGACAGAAGGTGATAAAATACACAGGCACAGGAATGGTTTTGGTTTTTTTTTTTTTTTAAATGAATTTTTTTAAGAAACTGCATACATCAGAGACAAACAATAATTTAAATACCATGCAGTTTCAGTATGTACAAAAACTAGGACATAGAGATCCAGTTTAATCTTCTTCTAGTTATTTACATCGTTTTCATACAGCCATAATCTGTTAAATTACAATACTGGAAGAGCACATGATTGACAGCCACCACACTCACTCCTATACAAAGACAAACTATATACATACACTTGGATATCAACTGGAAAATGCAACTGGTGCAGGAGTAACTGGGACACATGGGAATGCAGGTAATGTGCCCGTCACCTCCTCTTTGTTTACAGACGTTGTTCCAAGCTTGAGCAGACTGAACACTGGGGAAAAAAATCATTTGTCCCCTTTTTCTTTCCTGATTTTTTTATTAGCCTAGTCATCTCCCATGGCTATTTATACAACGTGATTTTATTTGCAGGCACGTTAGGGAGCCCCCGTTGACATGTAACTATGGGTTTCCATCTCGCCCATCTTTTCTTGTGAGTGCAAGCTTTCGCCAGGCATGTTGGGAGTGCTCCCCCTCTCTTGGTTTATAGTGTTTCCACTGCACAGACGGCACTGTAGAAGTAACGAAGGTGAGGAGGTTGGTGACTAGTTGCGGTGATGACAAAAAGTGCTGTGGTTACACGTAAGTATTAGGCTGAAATATATTTGTGTAATGGGCTCGCTAAATAGTTTCAGTTAACAGAAAATAGTTAAAAGTCTATTATATTCTTGTCCTGCCTGCCTTCTCTTCTGGTAAGTGCGCGGAAGGAATTGGCTAGGCACAAAAGCTGACCTGAGCCCCATCCCAGCAAACCTGCAGCCTGAAACTTCTTCAGCTTGCAGGTACCTGACCAGCGGGGCGGGGGTGGGGGAAGGCCACAAGGCGGACCTTCCCTGCCAGCCATCAGTACGTCCCCAGCTCCCCACAGCCTGCTGCTGGCGAGGGGGTGGGCGGCAGGGCGATGCCGCCATCGTGTTTCCTCGCCATCGCTTTTTTTTTTTTTTCCCCAAACAATCAAAACTTTTGTCTAAATGTTTTGGAGTTGCTTTTCTAATCCCCGCCACCGCCACCGCCCCCACCCCCCGCTTCCACCTCATCTTTCCACAGGCTGTAGAACAGCTGTCACAGCACTTGAATAGCCCAGCAGGATTCAGTAGATTATAACCAAAATGTTTTTCTTCCTTGGCTCTAGAATATTATCTCCATCTTCAGCCCTGGAGATGGATGATGGGAATAGTAATTTTTGTTGATTTTTCCATTCTCTAAACCTGATATAATTTCTTTAGTACTACTATTAATCTCTTCCTAATATGAATGAGGATGACTGGTGTTAACTGCAACGTTAACAGAGTCTTAGCAGGAATACCATCATCTTTATGTCCTACACATAAGCCCTTCACCCTCAACAGGATCACAACTACTTTGCTGTGATGGCTTTCAGAGATGGGAAAACGAAGTGCTCAAGAAAAGAGATTTAAAAAAAAAGACCTAGCTGTTCCCCCGTCTGCCTGCAACTTCCCGTGGATGCCAGAGGCGGGCGTGCAAACTGAGGATGCGCTGCAGTGTTCAGGCACTGAAGGGCTGTTGAAGAATGCCTCGCCAAAGGGTAACTTTGCAAAATACCCACACCCACTGAAGCTAAAACCAGATGAAGTGCCAGTTCTGTGGTGCTTACTACAGTGCCAAAGACTTTATATGGCTTCTTTCTCCTCCTCCTTCTCCCTTTTCAGTAATAAGCTCTACTTGCAATTTGGGAGAGACATGGCAGTTCTTCCACTGTGTCCTGGTGTCTGCTCAGGCAGGAGTTAACATCATTAAAAAAAAAAAAAAAAAAAAAAAAAAAAAAAAAATTTGCCACCTGTAGCTTCCCTGGGGACAGCGTGAATCCTGAGGCAGGCAGAGCGCGACACCTTGCTAAGCAGTCAGCGGAATAAAAAAAAAAAAAAAAAAGAAAAAAGCAAAAAGCATTGCCACCTGTAGCTTCCCTGGGGACAGCGTGAATCCTGAGGCAGGCAGAGCGCGACACCTTGCTAAGCAGTCAGCGGGGACCTGCCCGGGGCCCACCCAGATGGAGGCAGGGTGGTCGGGGAGCATCTGGCCGTCACCCAGGGCTTGGCTGTTTTGTGCCTCAGCCAGCGCCCAAGGGTTTATTTAGGCTACCAGACGGGCAGGCGTGGGCACTGCTGGGGTCGATGCCCACGAGGGACGGTGGCAGTGCCCAGACTGACGTTGCCCACAGGCGACCTGTTCCCCTGGGGACTCCGGCACTGACAACAGCAGTCTGCTACTTCCACCTCTTTCCTCGTCATTTTAATCATAAAATGAAAAAAAAAAATCTCACCCATTCCTCCCACCAGCCTACTGAGTCCTGTGGTTTCTGTCCTTCCCTTTCACACCGAACCTCTAAGCTAACGACGCCAGGGCAGGTGTGGGATCCGTGCTGGGAACATGAGGGCTTGCTGCTCTTCAACACAGCGATGTTGCAGAGCCCTTTCCTAATGCAATGTGTGTGTGTAGGCAAAAGCCTAGAGTTTTGTTTTTCCCTTTTTAAAGCTGTGATGCAGTTTTGTTACGCGTGCATGTGTATGTGAATGAATTTAAAAACGTGAACCCCCCCACGTTTTTGTGAAAATAACTCCACAGCAGCATATTCCTGGCTAGTACGTAAGTAAGTGCTCTGTCTTTGCTGCACTGAGCCGATAACATTGCACATTAAAGGCTTCCACTACTGATGAACTTGTCTCTAAAGCAACTGTGAGCTGGTGATACGGGGATCACTCTGTGTGTTGCTTCGGAAATCACTACCTGGTCTGGGAAGCACGTCACATCAGAGGCATGCTGCCTCAAAAACGAGGCACCAGAAGCCAATTCTTATTTAACAGCTAATAATCCATAGCATGGCAAGGGTGGCCACAGATGAGAATGAAACGCTTTCACTTGTCTCTGATGGAGAGCAAACCTGTGAGGTATTGAGTACCACTGCTAAGCGTAAATGGAGTGCATTGGCCTCGCTGCCGGTGTCGTTCGGCAGGCTGGATGCCAGAACAACCCGTGGTCCTTTTGCTTTACTCCTGCGACCAGAGGAATGCGATGGAGGCCTGAGAAGAGGCAGGAGCGTTGGCACTACGCAGCATTGGCCATCAAATGCTCATGTGCAAGAGGCTTCTCAGCCCGCAATCAGTAAAGGTCAATGTTAGCATGGCATCGGGGGAGGTAGAGAGGGAGCGCAGAAGAGTGGATAGCTACGTGGAAGACAGCAAGAAAGGAAAAAGTAATAATAACAGAAATAACAACACCGTAGTAAAAAACTTTGGCCTCTCTGTTCAAACTGTCAAAGCAAAATAGAAGAAATGTGGAAGAAAAAAGGTGTCCTGAAGTAATAATTTGGAACTTCTTACAGTAATGTTGCTACAGTGCTTTGGGCTAGTGGCCCAAAAACATGGCATAATAGTTTCTTGCTAAAGCTGGAAAGGAATCCTAGACAATGTTTGCCCCAGCTTGCTGGCATTATACTGGTTAAGGACTTGATTCTGGGAGGTGCTGGCCAAAGTTCAGAAAAGCACTTACTTACATGTATTCAGCTTCAGTTAAGCCTGTCAGACATGTTCTTGAATGCAGTGAGGCTGTTTGCATGCTTACTTAGCGTTAAGCACACGCTTAAGCTGGCAGGTAAACCAGGCCCAGAGTGACCAGCTCTCTGAGCTCTGCTTGGTCAGTTTGTGTGTTAAACCACTATAATAAAAATAAATTAAAACCAAACCAGAACACCCCTGGATTTCTGTCCTTATGCCTCAGCTGTGGGTACTGGTGACAAGTCTCACCATCCACACCAATCCACCAGACACCTTTTGTTAGGCCAGGTAACACAATCTGTCATGCTTTTCTCAGTATGAGTTTAGGGTAAGTTCTTGAAACACCTGCTACAGAGAGGACAGATATTCCTCATCGACGCCCCCCCCGCCCAGTTCCTCCCGTCGTGTGTCCCTCTGCAGAGCGGCTGGGAATGCCCGCCTTTCTCGCTGCCGGGTGTGTGTTGGCTCTCACACAGTCGCAAGGCTCGAGGGTAAAAACAAACTACAAGCTGAGCGAATGCCATGCAGTGACCATGAAGAGATGGGTTTTGCTTGTGTGTCCTCAACATTCTTGTCGCTTACTGCTGATGGGTTCACAACTGGGTTTAGAAAGTTACACTTGAAAGCGATGAAAAAATAAACAGTTGCTAGAGCTGAACCAGCCTTCAGTAGGGAGTCCTGTTCTTTACAGGTGATGCCTTTTTCTGCTTGGGAGCCGAACAATGCCTATCGACTGGCCATAAACTTCTCCAAGGAAAGAAATGCCTTTCTAGCCAGATGATATTCACAGATGGGCTGGCCCGTAGAGTAATTTTTGCTCCTTCACCATCCTCATAAGGTGCTCGCAGCCTGAAAGGAGTGTTTGGTATAAGTAAGTGCTTTAGTGCCTTAGGTGCCGGTCTTTTGGAGACTTCACCCAGGCCAGTGATTCCCTGAACACCATCTTGGGGCTCTCTAGAGTTGATGACAGAGGCTTGTCAGGATGAAGGGTGCCTGAAGACGAAATGGATGCACCACCAGCTGGGCTTGAACATGTATGGCAAGTCCACATGCCAGGAAAGTCTTATACATAGATGCCAAGTCTTGGCACGATTCCCACCAGGGGTATTTTCTGTTACTGAAGCTCGAACCAGCAGGTCTGATGATGCTGCAGTACCCATCACATGTAAATACAATTTTCCATTTTTTTTTTTTAAATTTATATTTTTCTACTCTTCTTTTTTTTTAAAAAGGCAGTTTAGAAGATTTACATTGTACGTAACAGGGAAGTGAATAATACCAGCACTTATGGTTCCTTTTAGTTATGTTTTGAAGACGGCATAGTAGTCAGGTAGAATTGAACTGCTACGGTCTATGAAACCTAAAACCCAAGGGGGAAAAAAAAAAAAAGAAATAGTAAAGCTAATATCCTCACATGCAAATTGTACATAAAAAAAATTGGAGAACTAATTGCTACAGTGACGCAATTAGGCAGCTTGATTCCTGCAGCATTGACATCAGCCACGCTGGCACTGTGGACCCAGAACAGACACTCACAGTTCATAGGCATAAGCAGTTTGCACCAAAATCTACCCAAAGACACTACTACGCCTTGGGTCCATCCTCTCAGATCCCTGAGCGAGTTATTTCAGATCAGCTAGTCCTCTTTCAGACCACACCATGCCTCATTCCATAAAAATTGTCTGGTTTAGACAAACTTTGTGCTCTTCAGCCAGAAAGATTTACATACAGTTCGATTATTCCTTAATGTCTGAGGCTAAAGAGACAAGTAGAGCTAAAATGGCCGCCCTTTCTGCAAGTACACCCTGTGTCAGGAGGCCTGTGTTTGTCAGCTCTGCAAAGGTTGGGTTTTTTTTTTTTTTAAGCTTTGATTTTTTCACTCTATCATTAATTAACGTGTCCCACTAGTAAAGCAACGCTCACATTCTTTGCTCAGCTCATGCCACTGCTTAATGACATGAATAGCTCATTACCTTGCTAATGATTTTATAATGGTGATTTATCTAAGTTTGTTTAAGGGAATTGCTCTATTTTGTTTAAGCGCGCTTCCTTCAAGTGCATATTTCCTGAAGCCACTTGTCTAACCAGTAAGTCATGCTGAACTTCAGACAAACCCTTATTCCAATTTCTATTATATTAGCTATACCTCTGAGTATGCCTGGCCCAGACTTAGCGAGCCAAAGCCACTCGGTGGCTTTCAAAAAGAAACTGAGCCATCTCAGAGGGTCACTGCTCACTCCAACGCTGGAAGAGAAGCAAAATACTGCCCAGAAACCTGCAAAAGCCAAGCAGCTGGAGAGACTTCTGGAAAACTAAACCAGTCTCTATGTTTGTGGGATGTTAAGACCTCATGGAAATCAACGGAGCTCTCAATGGAGCTCAGCTCCTTGTAGCAACACCTCCTTTAAAACAGCCTCATCCTTTCTAAATTTGTCACTGCGCTCCTGGCGGAGCGAGCCAAACGCCCCTCAAAGGCTCAGTCACTGAGGTCAACAGCTCTAGGCCAACCGCGCACCCTAAAGCTGCTTCCAGCCCTCACAGCTCAAAGGCAGCTGGCTTGTTACTCTAGCAGCACTCAGTTATTACAAACCCCAGTGCAACCGTCCTAGCACATGCTAGGAAGTAGGAGGGAGATCGTTTCTGCAAGGGGATATATGCATAATACATGTGGTGAATTTTAATATAATTATTAATTTATACACATAAAAATCCCCTAATACAAAATTAATTTTGCCTCAAGCTTTTCTGTATTTTTCTTAAAAGTATTAACTGCATTTTTTATGAGCACCTAGCTGATGAACGTATTAATACAAGGGCAGCTCCAGTTCTGCACCAGCTCTCGCTCTCACTTGTCTTCAATACCTAACGCTTGTCTTTAATGTCTAACAATGAGTGGGGGTTAATGTTGATTTGCAAAGGCCTGACTTCAGCTGAAATGCCCCGAGTTCAGCTCATCTCGGCATCAAAGCCAGGGCAGAGTCAGCACAGGCTGTGTGAGGGGACGTGCCCTGACCTCCCAGCGTGCCTCGGCCCTAGCCTGTCAGACAGGAGGCTTGCTAGTTTGGGGTCATGGATAATTCATTCAGTCTCTACCTTTTTAACTAAAAAAAAGCCTAAAAGTGTAAAAATTAGTGCCTCTCACAATGCTGATCTTGCTATTTCCCCACTGCATTGCCTATGGCAGAATGTGGAGGGCAGGACTGAGCGACCTGTGCGTGGGATGTGCGTAGCGTGGAACAGCCATATCCCCAGCGGGGTCTGAGGGTACGCTCATTCATACCTTGCTACGCACTGGCTCTACAAGAGTGCCCTGTCCTCCTTCAGACACCAACACTATTTACTTTTGATATCAGAAGAAGGGACATGCAGGTAGAGCATGATGATTTAAAATAAAAGGAGGTTACGCTTCATTAAACAGATGGCACGTGCCTGCATACCGCCATGTAAGGAGGCAGCATGAGCTCGTTCTGTGCGAGTTTCTTTTACAGCTTCTGATTCTAAATGTTGTTTAGACCTCATGGTGTGTTCAGTGGGTGTTGAAGAAACAGCTGCTGGGTTTTTTTTGGAAAACAACAGTATTCATTGATAGTCTTAAAAAATTAATCTCAGCTTACCTTGTTAGATGCCTACTTAATTCATGAACTTCCATTTCAGTGCTTTTAAATTCATTAAGCTCTTTTCGAATGGCTGCCTGCAAAGGACAAATAAACTCATAAATGTATAAATGAGAGAGATCAAAATAGGTTGACTTTGTTCTCAAAACAGTATATTGAAAGTGAAGCAGATAGATAGGTAACGTTATCAGAGAGAGAAAGAAAAAAACAAAAAAACCTTTAAAATGTGAAAAGGAAGAGATATAACCATGTTCTAAATCACATAAAGGGAAGAGATAAATGCTTCAGTGGAATGGCTCAATTTGAAAACATACCATAGCCAACATAGGTACAGAACCCAATTCTGGCTTATTATGTAAACAATTTCATGTACAAAATCCAAATTAGCATAAGCATGAGAAAAAAAACGTGCACCAGAGTTTCTCAAACACTGCGATCTGTTTCAGAGCTGGACTGTGAATACACTGGGCCCGGATCCCACCGGACTCACATTTGAGATGTCTCCCACCTTTATGCGGTCCTGAATTTCCTTGGGTGAAGTTACTGAAAGTGGCCGAGCTTACTTGGGAGGGAAGAGGGACACCTGCCTCCCTGCCCTCCCCTCTGCCTGGGGCTGTGCCCCTCTGCCCGCCTCCTCCCTTCTGACCCAGCTGTGCCGTTTACTGGACGGATTCAAGGGCACTAATCCAGCAGAAAAGGAGCCACAGGTGGTCATATTCAGCACCTGCAGGAGACCCGGTTACCTACAGCCTCTGTGGTTTGTCTGTGAGGGAAAAGAAAACCAGGGGTGGCTGGCAGGAAGAGAAATACTGAAGAATACAAAAAAGGAGGGGTGACTTGGAGGGACTCAGCTTTGTGTTGGAGAGGGTGCTCAGCAGAACTGGCTCAAGTCCCAAGCCTTGAGTCCAAGTGCTCCAGTCGGTGGTGCTCGTGTCTGTCAGGAATTTTTCTTGATGAAGGAAATGTAAACCCGTACAAAGAGCAGTTTGTGGCAACAGCCACTGATCCAGTCACCAACTACCTTTGCCTTGACAAGCCCTAAGTGACAGATTTTGCGAGTGTGATCTACAGAAAGGGTCCCTTGTGCTCTTTCTGCGCAGCTTTGCTTTTTTATTTACCTTAGAAATGTCTGTCAGGCTCTGCCTCCATCTATCAGGACAGAGCGATGGCTATGCAGCAACTCAAGGGCCTACCTTCAGCAGACCAATTTGCTGCTTAAGTGACTGTGAAGGAGGCCACCCGGGCTGCTGACTCCCACAAGGTCTGGAATCTATTCCCCCCTGCATCCCTCATCTGTTGGAGAGCTTTACAAGTGCCCTTTTTAATCCTGAAACAGTCAGACCTGCTAAAGATGAAGTCAGACTGAAGGCAGTTCCCTACATCCAGCACACAGAGCAAGATTTACTGACAAACAGAAAAGTCCATTACTAAAATCTATTTTTGCAATAAATCTAACCTGTGCTGACCAATGAAGACAGTTATTGAATCAAAGCTCTGGAAGAAAATAATCTTCTATAGGATGTTGCAGCTTTTTCAGACATTTTAGAGTTGCTTCCAATTTGTCTGGCTATTTTTTTCCAACAGTGGGCACAGTGGCAGGGAAAAAGGTCATCTGAACGGCAGAAATCAGAATATCACCCATGCGACGCAAACCCAAAAAATAATGTACCTGCTTCCTTATGCCATAAGGGGCATTAATATTAGAATGACAAACATTTCTTCTTCTCCTGCTTTGCTTAGAAAAAGTTCACTTGGAGAACTTAAGCCCTTTGCTCTGTGTACTGACTTTGCACATGCATTATAAAAAAGAAAAAGTGACCTCAAAGCACTTTGCCTTAATACCAAATTCTTTACCAGGCCACATTTAATAGCGGTATTTAATAATTGTTCTTTTCACAGACACAGGATGAGGAAGGACACCAAACCTCCTTTCCCAGCTGAAGTCTCTCCATGCCTTTCATCCCAGACAGGGATCTCTCAAAGGCTGCAGAACCATTTGGAGATTTATTCCCTCCCTACCAATTGGAAGAATATAACTAAGTCTGTTGAATAAGATCTTGTCCAACATGGTGAGGTAAAATGGGAAAAGTTAATTTAACCCAGTATATTATGGCCTGTGGACAGTCCAGAGGAAGTTTTTCTCTTTTTCAGATGAGTTTATGCTATATTAACTTATTCAAAACTAAACTGGAAAAGCCCTCTGTCAAGGAGAAAATCAGTGGTCACAAAACTATACAAGTCCTTCGGTTAAATTTTACAAATAGAACGGGCTGCCCTTTCCTCTGTGAATAAAACCAAGAGCACCATAAATGAGTGGCACGGCCAGGAATCCTGCTCCTGTCTCTAAACACTGGACATCGTGGTCTCCATTGCTGCATGAGTCCCACAGCAAAGAAATAGTCGGGTAGCTGAAACTCTTTAAAATTACATGGGCGTCATAGAGTGACTAAAGCATGGGAGTCACTGATCAGTCTCATAGTCCTCTTTTCTTACAGTGGCCATAAAACGTTTAAGTCTTCTTCCTGAGGCACCATTAAGACCCTCAGGATATGACTGTTATAATTCACCAGCAGCGTGAACTCCTCTGCCACCAGTGCTGCCACCAGAGACACCACTTAGTGAAGGCCCCAGTGGCGCTCAAGAGAACAGCGCACTTGATACCAAATACACAGCTTTTCTTCATCTGCAGGGCTCGTGCAATTTCAGTTTAGTCCTTAAAATACTCTGTGGAATGCGGCAGAAACCCTGAGTAAACACCCCTGTCGTTAGACACTAGAAAGAAGTTACCTGGCTTTGGTGGGAGGTGCTTTTGCCAAGCATTTGACCTGCTGCCATTTTTGCACCCAGGCCTTCTCCATCCTGGCACAGTAATTCTGGCAAGTGCTGCTGTCACACTGCTCTGCTAGGTCTTGCAGGAGCTCTCAGCTGGCAGCATTATGTGGCAAGACCAAAACCAACAAACAGAGTTTGAGACCTTTCCTCAAAGGGCTTGATATTCTCCCCTCTCTGTTTAAATGGTATAATGCTGCTAGGCTGGCTCCTGGTTTCCACCCATGTAGGAGCCTTCTTGGCAAAGATTTATGACTCAAACAACAAACCTTGTGAACAGGAAGAAACCAAAGGTGTGTTGGGAAGGGAACTCAGGTGGAGGTTTATTCCTTGACGGCCGTGGGACCTGAGGGATGCTGTTTGCCACGACATGCTCTAGCTATTCAGATCATGGCTCTCCCGAAGTTGCTTCACTCACTTTGTCGGCGGCTGTGAGTCGTGTCCAGGGTTTGTCCGCCCTCCTGTCGTAGTCCTGTGCGTCTGCCACTTCCACGTAGTCACTGAAGCGGATGAGGATCTTCCTCTCACGTAGCTCTTCTACCGTGGGCCTTTGACTCAGCTGCAGGTTTGAGGAAGGAAGTGGAAAAAGACATCAGAATTTCACTTTTTCCTTGCAGAATGCTGCTTGGGGATTTATTTTACTACAACCATCGTTATGATAATAAGAGGGTTCAAACATTCCCAGTAATGTTTTTATCAACCTTTCACAGAATTGCTACTTGGGAGACAACCTCTTGTTATAGCACCTTGAATATCATCCCACCCTGCTGCCGGAACAGCCCACTGTTGCTTGGGAAGCAGCTGTGGCTGGAGACCCCGATCCCCGGCTGAGGGTGGTCACCCCTGGCAGAAATGCAAGAAAGTCTCCTAGTGCACCGATGTCCCAGGAAGAGACGAAGACCACAACACAACTTTAAAACTACCTGCACAGGCTGTGCGCTCCCCAGCCTGAGAAGAGTCAGGCAGAGGCACCGAGCAGATCCTGCCCTGAATTATGTGCAAAAGGTGACAAACAACTTTCCTTACCATTCTGATATTCTGCAGACTTGTCCTTACCTCCAGAAAAGGCAGGCAGGCTGATGATGACTATTGCTCATTGAACTTTTCACTGTATGCTGCAGCTCAATTTTCTGTCACAGCGTATTTGACTTTTAACAGTTTACATTGCATACTACAAGCCCAGAAAAAAAATTGCAAGGGTGGATTGTATCATGTCAAGAAAGCATCTTCATTGTTCCAAAGCATTTCGCTCAAATTCCACAGCAGAAGAGGCAGCCACAGTCAAAACTCTCCTCTCAAATTAGAACCAGTAGTGCGTTGGTAGTCCATGTGTCCTACACCAGTTACATGGCTAGGGACAGGAACTGGCTTTCAGGGATCAGTTCTCCTTGGATGCAGAGCGTGTTCGTTAATGCCAAAAGCAATTACACAAGTGTTTCTGAAGAAGGTGCTACATATACGCGTGCATGTGGCTGGACATTAGCTGCAGAAGTTTCACTATTAGAGTGAAACATTTGTAATCATGATATATCAGAAAAAATAATATCCTGCTAACAATTAGCTAGACAGGTCTAAATTAGCGAAATTAGTGGCAATTAGCAAAAGGTCTAAATATTTCATAAAATGCTTGAGACTCTATTTTGCAAAGGTATTTAGGCTCCTGGATCCTGACATGCAATTCCACCTTCCTCCCAAAGTAAGTATCTCAGTTCCCTGCATTTCATCTTGCAGGGAGAATTAAGATTCAAAACAGTCAGGATGCTAAGTGGAGGGTGAAAAATGTGCGAGATCACAAGAAAGAGAAGCACATGCTTGAAATCCCACCTTTCTCCAGCATTTGGGTGCTGATGCAAGATACCTCCACCACCCCATCCTTCCTCTGGATTTAAATCCCTGTGTGCTTGTTTTTGGCATGGATGGTTCCCCCTCTCCCTTCTCTTTTTAGAAAAGACGGTTGCGACGGGAGGTGACAGTGGGGCTGCTCTCCTTACACGGATAGCCCTGAGTATGCACTCATGACCTGGGTTCCAACACCTCATGTAGGGAGTCTGCAGAGCTGCACTAACGCCCTGCCTGCGAGATGCTCAGGGACAGGAATCGCGTCCTACCCTTCCTGGCTGCAGCCCAGCCATTTTGCATGCACTGGAGGGAGGGAAATCTTGGAAAAAGAGGGTAACCAGGAGGACAGCTCTGCACTGCCACATAATGCCCTTGCCTAGGACAGCTGGCATCAGTCAAGCAGCAGCTTGGCAGTTCATGTGCCATCCCGGCAGCCATTTTAGGGTAAATTACAACATCTAATAGGGGAAAAACTTGCTGGTTTGAAAAACAGCATCTCTGAAACTTCTGAATATTGCAAAGATCTTAAAACTAGACAGTTTTCTCACACCCACCTTCTTCTATGGGAGGCATGAAGTTTCCTGGGGTGAGCTTCTCTGCACGTGTTTGTCACACAACATTTATAAGCTTCCTCTTATTTCTTCCAAGAGTTTCCCAAGAAAAGTCCCATTTTATATACCCAGGTTCAGGCCAGCCATGCTCAGGTCAGCCAAAGAGCTCGTATGCAGTGACGTTAGCAAGGAGCATGACTTTCTGAACTCAGACTACAGGTTTTGGGGACCTTTTTTAAAAAACCAAAATGCATAGACAGTAGGCATAACTTTTTTTTTTTTTTTTTTTTTAAAAAAAAGGAAAAATCTATGTGTGAGCTAGAGAACCATGTCAAAA